TTGAATAAGCATTTTTTGCTTTGCGTGAAGCGTGAATGAGGATTTATTTTTTCCGTGATTCGCGAATCTATATTTTTCCTTCCTCGGGAAACTGGTTTTCGATGTTTTCATGATCCGTGCATTATGCATTTACTTACACGTGATTTGTGAACCAACTACTTTTGCAGGAATAATTTTTCACTTCTTTTGGAGATTTTAGCGTCATTAAAGCTCGTAAACTACACCAAACTAGATGTAAAACCTGCCCATTCGACACGCTTGCGGCTGGAGGACTGAGAACTAACCACAGCGACAGTGAACCAGGAGGGCCTAGAATCTAGTCTGTCACGATGTGTCAGACACGGCATTTTGATGCATCAAAATGGAGGGTTCTGTATGTTTTGCGAACATGGACAGAATTTGTATTTTATGTGACACATGATTTAGCCTTTGCATTTTTACGTGAAACATGATTGCTTGCTTTTTTCTGTCAACGTGAAGCTGTTTTTCGAATTTTATGTGATGCGTGAAAAGGCCAATTACATATGCGTGAAATTGTTTTCAGAAGAGGTATAGGGGACTCTCCCCTGTGACATTTGCAAAACTGAGTAATAGAAATGTAGATTGAGTTTCAACCGAGGTGTCAATGGAGTATCGATTGAGTATCGCTCGGGTGTTGATCGAGTGTCAATTGAGAGTATCGATCAAGGGTATCAATCGACACGACCACAGATGCCTTTGGTACATATAATCCAGCTTATCTTTAGTAGGTGAAATTGTAACAATGTTTGATAAAAATCAAACTTGCCATTAGTTGCAAATTATAAAGCTGACCTCGTAATAATATTATTATCTGACCTCTCTGGACAGTACCAATAGTTTTAGAGTTTCATGTCTTGGTCTTTTGAGCAGTAGACAATTAAATGCCAATTAAAATCTGACTCGTGGAAATTTGCTTTTGAATGTTGTTCTTATCCTTCAGCTAGCCATTCTACAAGAACTGAAGATATTAACAGAATAAATTAGGAGAGGATACAATATACAACTCTGTAGTTCATAGTCAACTCAGATGCAGTTTAATCATGCAGTGTTCCAAAGTGTGCGTGCAAAGGTCAGAACATTTTGGTAAGTAAAAGGCTGGAATATTCATTTGTTATTTCTATATTTTGCAGCATAGACCATCTTATAATTTCTTCAGCCACAAATTTTTATATCTTTTTTCCAGCCAAAAAAGTATATAAATAGATTTTAAAAACCTGGCTATAATTTATAAATATTATTTTAATTGATCATTGTTATTGTAGTCTCACTCTGTAAAACAAATGTTTCTTTTTGGTTCATTTAAGGACAACTGAGGAAATGTTGTCTTTCTTATGGGACAAATACATCAACTGGTTCACCTGGATGAAAATTAAGAAATTAAAACGTTATTGAAAACATGCAAGGGATGGGAATCTTTTTGGTAAATGAATCAAAGTTGCAGAATGTTGCAAACCAGTCTCAGGAAATGGTGGTTTTTGATTGGTAAAAGCTGAGTTTTGAATCTAAATTTTGAGTGGTTGTCTGCAATATCAACTGTTTTGGTTTGGCCATCAGGTTTCAAACCAAATTTTTTCAAGCAAAATTAATATGATTAATTCATAACTATTGATGGGATCAGTAGAGAATTTAAGGCATAGAGGATTTGATGATAACTTAGTAAAAGTAAATTGGCAAAGACCTTTATTTGCTTTTACTCAATTTAAAATTTTGTTGACAAA